GCTCGATTTTAAATGGATTTCTGACCTTACTCTGCTACTTGTTCTTGTCCAAACTATTTATTTCATTTTTAAAGTGTTTACATTACTACTTTTTATATCGCCCATTCATTTCACTATTACATTCGCCCCATTTTCTCCTTCTCCACAAATTTCACTCATATTACAATATTATAACCTTTTCTTCTTCCTCCTCATCTTCATCCCCCTCTCTTCCTCTTTACTGCCTTTTCCATCCATCTCTCTCCCTTCTTTGTTTTCACATTAAATCATTATATTTTAACGGCTGAAGAACATTAAGGGGAAATAATAGTTAAAGGAATGTAATTATTTATAATTTCCTTCTAAAACTGTTTAAATACATTGGGATTTTATATACTATAAAAGAAACCACAGTGTAACCCGGATATAAGAGAGTTGTTGGGACCGGAGAAGAAGTATCTTATATCCGGGTTTCTCTTATATCCGGGTTTCTCTTATATCCGGGTTTGGTCTGTTTTGTTTAGGTAAGTATGGGAACACTTTGGGACCAGATAAAATCTCTCTTATATCCGGGTTTTATCTTATATCCGGGTTACACTGTACTAATTCCAAGTGTCACATGTTAATATTTTATATGGCTATATTAATAGTTACTTTTACGTTGATATTGTAGTGGACCGTGGCAGTGATGTTGTTGATAGAAGCAGATGAACACATGTGGGGTTCAGATTTTCCTGCTAGCCTGTCCAACTACATGAGAATGTTGGACTTTAATTAAGTCCAAAGAAGGCAAAGAAAAACAAACACAAGACCGATAAATATATGTATACAAATATATGTATTAATAACAAGTTACATGGACAGAGTGTGTGTGTGTGAATATTATATATGTGTGTGGTGAGTGTTCGTACGTACGTGTATTGTGCTTAGCGTGTTCCCAGCATTTGGGAAACGCTTTCTCTGTGAGCGTTCACATCTACGAGATGGTAAGGCTGAAAGCCTGAGGAAAGAGAGAGAGAGGCGAAGGGTCAGCGACTATTTATAGCTAGGGAAGAGAGACCCCTGGTGTAAGGGTTAACGAACTAAAGGAGAAGTTAACTCCGACAATTTTTATGTACACGAGGTTTGTCCAGAATATATCCAGCAATTTAAAATTAACGAATAAAAATAATCTACCTAGGACAATGGTGCCTTTGAACTCTTAGTCCACTTAGGGCCGACATGTAAAGTATTTTTTATCGTCGTTGTTGAGCAAGTGGCATAAACAATGCTGACAGTTCGATTTTGGCCAAATAACGAAAGATTTCCTTCGCCAGGTTTGAATATATCGAGTGCAAACTTATATTTATTAGCTTCAGCTTTTCGGCATGAATTCCAGCGGGATTCTCTTTCATAAGGAAAGACTAACCAGTTCCCTTCGTTTGTTTTAAGTTGTAATATGTTCCTCTATCGTTCCGCTTGTCAGTGCGTGTATTCGTCGCGTACATTTGTCATGCTTAGGTATCAAAAAATATTCTCAAGTCATCATACGTCTTGCTGAAAAAAATAATTTGCCACTCTTGTCTGAAAAGTCATTGATTTGATTTTATACTTTGTAAACGATAACGGAATTATTACAAATTATAACTGAACTAAATGCTTCACATCTAAGTGATTTTTCAATAAGTGTTCACCTTGAATCTAGTTTCTAAATAAGTGCCCCTGTTGATCACTTGAGTAAATACAGTTTTAAAAATCAGATTACATCTTCTTATCAGTCAGTCAGTTATGTGCCATGTGCGATACACGCTTAGGCGATCATGTATCTTTCGATACATGACTGATGAAGCAGATTTTTTGCCGCAGTAGGTTGCCATTTCTTTCTGCGGTAGACCAGTTGCCATCCAAGGCTATAGAACCCGGTCTACCCTGCTATTTACCCATAGCTGGGGGGGAGGATTCATACCTTTACCAAGGGTATTAGAATGTAATGGATTCGACTGGAATTCGAACTCGGCTCTCCCATTCCTCAATTCAGGAGTAACCTTATCGCTATGAGAATGTAATAATTAGAAGAGACATGGGAACGTGCTTAGAACATTCACATTATGAGACCCTCTGGCTTTTATAAAGGGTAGTAAGTCAGTCAATTATGTGCGATGTGTGATACACACTTAGGCGATCATGTATCTTCCGATACATGAGTGACGAGGCAGATTTTTCCCGCGGTAAGTTGCCATTTCTTTCTGCGGAAGAACGGTTGCCATCCAAGGCTATAGAACCGGGTTTGTCCTCCTATTTACCCATAGCTGGAGTGGTGTGGGGGGGGGCAGAAAAGGATTCATACCTTTCCCACGTTTTCTTATAGTGGACTGAAACAAGTGGAACTGAACTAAACATAATTTACAGGGTAATAGATCTCATAATGTTCTCTTTAAAGATCAGCTGATACAACAACACCCCTCTGATTTCTTCTGTGAGTCCTGATATTTTTCCAGACATCCCATAATAAATTACCCCGCTTGTCACCAGTATATTTTCCAGGCATCACCGTACAAAAAGCAAACGTATACTTTACACCTCAAGCATGTGTATCGGTATTTGGGAACAACTTCTTACTGCAAGTGCTGCCAATCACATATTCCTCACACCAGATAACAGGAGATTTTCTGTATCATCTCTGTCACTCGACGGATTCTACTGTGCACATCGTTCACTGATGTAAAGCCCTCAAGATGGTTCGACTAGTTTACTGTCTGCCGACTACTTTGCGTTCTTTTATCATTTCTTTTGAGTCTGGTCGAATAAATAGCATTCTGAGTTATTGCTTGGATACCCTTTAGGGTTACGTATTTGTGCATTCTCTGTTTGATTGCTAATGTATACTCTGCAGCTAACCATACCAGGGAAATGTTTGGTATATATATATATATATATATATATATATATATATATATATGTGTGTGTGTGTGTGTGTAAACATGATTCATTAAAGATGACAAACAAGGTACTACGATTAAGCTTTTTATTAAATTTTTCTTGTGTTCGAACAAGTGTTTTCTTTTCTGGACAGAGAGTGTGTAGAAACCGTCCAAATGTTCTGTAATTTCGAGCGCTTTCGGCTATACTTTTAGCCATTATCAAGGATGATTCGATTTTTGCTTTTTAATTGGGTGTATGGGTTGCGCGTATGTTTCTAGAGTTACAGGAATCTTTTATTTTCGGAACACAGTTAGCACATTATGGCAGTGTTCGTAATTAATATTATTGATTGTTGGCTTTTTCTTTTTTATTATTAAGGCTTCTATTATTTTTAATCTTTTTTACATATGGATAAGGTTATTATGTTTGTATTTTCTACTAGTATGTTTCGGATAGAGTCTGGTAAGTTTGTGTGTGTGTTTAAATGGATTCTAATGGTGCTGTCGTCGGATAGGTGTAAGATAAGGCGTCTGGATAGGCATGTAGTCGTGGGACTGATGTAATTATTTATGAGTTCAGTTTCATCAGGAACATTGTTACTTAAGGGGCATTTGAACTCTGATATATATATATATATATATATATATATATATATATATATATATATATATATATATATATATATATATATACAAATGCGTGTCCACTAAAATAATGTATATAGTCATAAGAAATGATGTTGGAGGACAAAACTTTAAAAAATTACTCTCGTGTATATTACGGTTAGGAAACTGAATTTAACAGATATTGATTCATAGAAGTCTCCACGAGAATCGTACTTCCCTTAAATAGGTAATTCAAATCTTTCTCTGCCAGGCTGATTTCTATAATCAAACTTGTAGCGGTAATCTCTAGCTAAAAATGTATTTATTGTTAAGAAAAAGAAGAAATGCCGGTTCGATTTCTTTTGGAGGCACATTTTTTCCTTAGTAGACCTTCACTTAGGCCGGTTGTTATTAATTTCATTGTTTAAGAAAAAAAACTGGAATAGCCTCTCAAACACGTGTAAGATATATATAGAAAAAATTGAGCAAAAATTGCATGAAGAGGAAACTGCATGAATCCGACAGTTGGGATAGAACCTGACACCTCTCTGTTGCTTGCTTATACATAAAAGAGCTCTACATAACTGTGAAAGGTTGCTGGCTATTACGATCGAGCAAAAAAAAAAAAAAAACAAAAACAAAAAAAAACGCGAATATCTATATTAATTTTCAAATTTGCTTCTGGCATTTTCCTCCTGACCTGATCTCAATACTGTAAGACTTACTTTTATATACGTGTATTTTCTTCTTTTCTTCATTCCTTCTTTCTTTTCTTTTCTTTCCTTCTCTCTCTTTTTTAATAGCTCTGATGTTAAACTAAATATATTGATTCATTTTGCAAGCAAAAAGAAATCAATTTCGTTTCCTTTATTATTATTATTATTATTATTATTATTATTATTATTATTATTATTATTATTCCTGGAAGTCTTTCAATGAGATGTCACGAAGTCAATTTGAATTACATCTCTTGAGACCTTCGGGCAGCGCCAATTTCTATGATCTTGGGTTCTTGGCAATAAAAAGAAAGAGCAAGTTATTTTCTGAATTTAGTATTTGAAGAGACTATTAATTATTGGCTATTATAGCCAATGACAGGACCGACATTCTGCATGGGGATTTTTTTTTCGTTTGTTTTTAAGAAAAAATATCGGGAAGACGAAAGGCATCAAGAAGAAAAACGAAGAAATCAGGAAAAAAAACCATCAGGAAGTGAAAGAGAAGAAATAGACAAAAAAGATAAACGAAAAATGGTTGAAGGAATCAAAAAAGGAAAGGAAGAGAAATAATACAAATGAAGTAATGGCAACTCGAGAACCGGAGAAATAACGCGATTGGGTGCATTAGCGGAGGAAACGGAAGAAGAAAAATAGATGAAAAAATGATATATGAAAAAAAATACATCCTTGAAGAAGACAAGAAAAAGAAGGACAAATAAATATACATCAGTGAAGAAGACGATGAAAATAGAGGTAAGAGAATATATATGTGTGTGTGTGTGTGTGTGTGTGTGTG